TTATCAATAGATCTAATACAAGTCATGATCTACGACAACAAGACTGGCCAGGTTTCAAACGCGCGCCATTTCTCGCAGGACATCGCGTAAGAAGTGAAAGTTCCACGTTCCCCGGGTGTATCGATTCATCGAACCTATTGATGCGCGCAAAACACAGGCACACGCGTCGGCTAGAACGGTACATGCAGGATCGTTACTCACCAGGAGGAAAAATACTGTGCTCGTGGCGGTCGCTTCGAACGATATTCCGCACGCCATTTCTCGCGATCGAACCACCCAGGCACCTCCTCTACCAGACCATCCTGAGACTTGTCAGCGAGGCATGCGGCTCCCGGCTTCGTCGAGCTTCTCCTCGATTAAACCCGAATCACTTTTCCACCACAAAAACCACCACGATATTCGAACCGACCTCTCTCCTCTTTCTCTTTCTTTTCCTCAGGCCCTAAACGCGGTATCACGGACAATCGAAACGCGATTTCAAGCTTTTCGCCTCTGGGCGATCGTTAAAAATCCCTCCGGTCGATCACCGGGATGACCGAGCCGGTTCACCGTATTTTGACAAAAAGATCGGTGACGGAGCCCAAGCTTCACCTCGAACGATTGCTGCTCGGCCACTATTTCTTTCTTTTGCCCCGATTTCTTTCCTCTCGTCTTTCTGTTCCGCTGACCACCGTTCGATCACTGGCGTGTCCGATCACCTTCTAAAGATCTACTGTGCAACGGTCGTGTAACCGCTGGTTCGTGAATCGATATTCCTCTCGATCGCTGGTGCGATATCTGTGCCCCGTTTCCCGTTCGTGTCGTTGATCCGTGTTTAAGTTAGGTAGTAGACGCGGCTCGCAAGCGAGGACTAGACGACGCAGCTGAACGGTCCGGATCGTTTTCGTCGGGACAATCCTGCGGGCTTCTCTCCTCGTCGTTTGTAGGTGATGATTGCGCGGTCCTAACCGTAGCACAGGGCTCGGGCAACTGACAGCGGGTCAGAGCCGCGGCACACGGCGCCACGCCGCTCTCACAGCTGATCCGAGAGAGCCGATCGCCTCTACTCGCCTCTCTACCCTCTCTCTAACACGCGATTCTCAACCGACCCACCGCCACCGTATGTATACGTACTCCCTACGATTCACCTCCGCTAACCGGAACTTCAAGAGACCCCCGACTGACAAATCCGGCCGGTCGTCCTAACCTATACGCGGTGTTATTGTTGCACCGAACGGGCTCCTCCATCATCTAACCTTTATAAACGTCGGCTCTGTCTTCAACCGCGAGATTAGGGGATTTCTCGGAGGTCCTCCGGATTATTCGACGGTTTTCTACTATAATGGTTTATTTCGTTTTCTTGTCTCCTTTTAACTAGCCAGGTGGATAGACAGGTAGCAAGCGGACAGCAGAGCGTGAAACTAAGGCGAGCCAAGGGGACACTCGGAATGTGAACCATGACTGATGCTTTCTTTGAAGATGGAACAATATTTTTTTTCCTTTACCGGTCACCCTCGTTTTATCGTAAATTCGTCGCGGTCGAAACGGAACGCGTTTTCGGAATACCCGTTTGGACGTATGGTTTTGTCGATCGGATCTATAAATTGCGGGTTAATATTTTGATTTTATATATTCGGAACTTAGAGTTGACGGGATTGCGTAAATTGTCGAAAGCGAGATTACTTCATCCGTTGAATTTAATAGCGTTAAAAGATCGGAGTTAAAAGGGTACTTACATTCGGAACATCGCGTTCTGCGGACGCGGACTGAATACGCAAATTTGGAGTGAGAGTTTTTACGAAAACTGGTGTTCCCGGCGCCGTTAAATGCATCGTAACGCGGCGAAAAACAAAATGGCGTTGCGCGGAGGAATTCGTGCCAGTATAGTCGTGTTCCGATGAGTTGGCCGACTATTGACGAGATGAAAACTCAGAGGGGCAGGAGGACTCTTCTGGAAATGCACTTTGGACACGTTTAAATGCAACGATTACGTTTTCATAAAATTAAACGTAAAAAGATATTTATGCACCGTTCTTTATATTAACGCTAACTTTGTTCTCTATCGTTATATCTCACTCCGTCTTATTCACTTTCGCTCCCACCTTTTGTTACTGCCATGTGGCCTGAAGGGTCCCCCTGCTTCTCAGACTTTTCATCTTATTGGTAATCAGCCAACGCCGAAGCACGACTGTACCAGTTACAAATATTCTTTACAGTGGAACTGAAATTTCACGTTATCCTTACCGATTCGAATTTGTTAAAAACTCCTTTTCATAATCTCATAAATGCATACAGTAAAATATTCTTTCACGTCATAAAACTCGAGTAAAAAATAAACTAATAATTTGCAGGGGAATAAACCTAGAAAATAAATTCAGCTAGCGTGAACAGGAGCTCGTATCAGTGGTTAAAAATTGATTTAAATATCATAGAAAAGTTTCTTTTATAGTCTTATACCTTCCGGTCACTCCTTTAGCGACAAATCAAGCATGGTAACGATCTGATCACCGTCACAGCGGCTTTTTTCCGACGTACTAGTTCACCTCGTTTGTGCGCTAATGTTATGACCGTGATATTCAAGTCGAAGTTTTTGTTACCGTGGTACATTGTAAGAGAAAGTATTGCGAAACGGCTATTACACATTACAGTGCCTGTGTTAACTGTAACGATCAAATCACGTTAATGGTGTTAATTTATCAAGCTTTAATCAGAATACAACAGAAATAAAAGTTTGACGTTGATAAATTACCATTTTACGAATACCAGCTACTGTAATTGTCAGACTTTGTGTCACATTATCCGCTAATATGACGTATACGATTACCTTTCAGTTTATTTATAGAAGTGCAATCAAATATACCTATAAAATGTACATAGATATACAAATAATGGATACAAATAAATGTAGTATCAGCACATTACAAACATGCACGTGAATATAAAATTCCAAATATTCATTTCTACGAACCGTTCTTCATCATAGTAATTTACAGAAACTCTAATAATACAGACGTTAAATTAGTTTCAAATAAGTTTAACAAACATCTACTATTCTATTGTAAATAAAACTTCTTATTTGTATTAATTTCTTGGCGATATCATCGCTGTATCGTTGGATACAATTATTGAAGTCCTCACCTAGCCTGACCATCACCGCCGATCTAAACAATTCGTTGACATTGAACTGTTATAAAACCGATTGAAGGCTACGTACTCTAACTCTTCACTATCCGCACGTCGCGTCGCGAGCAGTGGTCATCCGTCACGAGGCCGCGGACGTGAGCGGCAACAATTAATACCGCGTGTATTATTCATAAATATTAATAACGTAATGAGGTCCGGTACACGCAACGTTCCACATTCGTGTGTGCCCCAGAGTGGTTAATACGAGCTTGCAAAAAGATATTCGTTCATTAATTAGGTGGATAGCGCCCGTTACCGCGAATCGAAGGTCACGAGCGAACTGTCCAACTCGGTAACGTTCTGTAAAAGTGCTCGCCTGCGCCTCCGCCTTCGAGATATACCGCCCACGTGCCCTTAATGTCCGTCTTTTCGTAGTACCTTTCACGGTTCCGCAAGAACGAACGAACGAACGAACGAACCGCCGTGCCGCGTCGGCGAATCAGTCAACGAAACTTTTGGAAGCTCTTGCGCCTCTTTTTCTCGTGGACGCGCATTCATTACGGGCAATTCAGGGCAATTAATTGCACCGAATACATTACGCGCGCAGGGTAGTTGCTCCGAGATACATAACGCGAAATATCTGAACTTAATGAGCCAATCTTCGCCGAGATCCTCTTAGTAAGGTTACAAGAAAAATGGCGGTTGAACGTTCGAAACCGCTTTATTAATCAGCCTCGTTAAGATCCAGTCGATGCTCCTGAGAATCTGCCATTAAATTAATCCGCTGATAGAAAGGAAAATAAAGGAAATGTAATGTGAAAACTCTGGTTTTATCGAGATAATTTCGTACGTAGCTTTTCGTTTAATCGGGATATAAATACGCTAATTATCATGTGAAATACTTCCTTTAAGCTTCGTGGAAACACGAAGTCCCCTAAATTCTCTTGTTATATGCCGTAGTGGTCCCTCATTATATCAGTTTGAAAAAAGGAGTGTATTATAGTCTAGGCAAGTGTTGTTTATATTTTTAAAGAGGATATTACAGTTCGAAGAGAGACCTGTATACCTACATAGATGAGTCACGAGATTCTTCAAAAATTCAAAAAATAGTAAGGACGTTTTGCAAATTTTAACATACAAAGTGTCGATGGAAGGCCGTCGAAAGAGGTTCGTCTGCAGAGTTCAGTCTCTTCGGACATGATCCACGCTTTTATTACCGGCATAAATTCGGTCCCATAAAAAAGATCAAAATAAACTGAAAACGTAACAACTGCGACAGATGAAATAAAGTCGATATTTATAGAAATCCACGCATTGCGACTGCTATTCTCTGCAATTTTGAAAAATAACACGGTTTCTTACCGAATTTATTTCACATTGTACAGGCACCTTGAAATTTTCATTTTATATAACTCGGAAGAAAAACAACAGACTCACAATTTACAACGAAAGTACACATTTATAAAGAATCCGATTGTCATAAATCCGTATTTTCAAAAACAAATAAGCAAAACACTAACCACAGGAAACTATCAAACAGGAATATATAATAAAAAGAAATAATCTGTAATAATCGCGCAATTTCAACTCAACGGAATGATGTAAATCATCGAAGATTAACGTTCATCTCGCCAGAAACATGGGTGTTGCATGATTCGTCCGCAACACCGACGATTCCCCGAATCGGGCCACCGAACCGTTCTGGTATTTCACCTGGGCGTCACGATAGACAGACGGCGATGACTATTGGGGAATACAAAGCGATTTAACGAGATCCTTGTGCAATAAGCGCGGATGAATAACCGACCTTGCGTATATAAGCGGCACGACCTTCGTTAAGTTAAGAGCGTTAAGGATCCTGCCAGTTTTTCACGTGACGACGAGCCCCGTCTCCGACTCCCCAGCACGAATTCGTTCGCGTCCAGGCATCGAAATCCCCGGGAATGCCAGGCGTCTCAGACAGCCGGTGTACGCGCCATCCAGAATTTATGCCCAGGCATTTTATTTCTCAGCTACTGTTCCAACGGCGATCGTATAAAATTTGGCCCCGACACATCCCGGATCCTGTGCTATTAATAATGGCCCCTACGATGCGACTTTTCAAGGAAATATAACGGTGTTCCTGCGGGGCCCGTTGAAACCTCGTAGGTGGATAGGAACGTGTCCCATTAATGGCGTGTTTATTGGCTTAAGGAATTTTAGGGACTGATGTTCGGATTATTCAGAATTATGCGACGTGGAGTTCCTTTGACACGATTCAAATGTAGTACTCGATAGTTAAGCTACTCGATGTTAGTATTAATGTTTAACTCTTCCAGAACGAGGATTTGTTAAACTTTCAGAACCTGTTCCCATAAAAGAGTGAAAGTGCATGGAAGTCTTAAGTACTAGAGAAGAAGAATAATGGTTTGGTTTGAATAATGAAATGTTTTATTTGTAGCATTCAATTTCAGATATAAAAGCTCGAAATTGTTATTAAGATGATATTCGACTACAAAGGGTTAATTCTATGGTGTGAGAAATATTTCTGGAGAAGGTGGAAATTTTATATTATTGGATTTAAGTTGGGCTGATTGTATTAGGTATATTGTAATTTTATGTAGAAAAGATTTAGTACGAATTTTGTTTTATGTTTGAATTTTTCGAAAGACTTAATGAAAGTAACCAGTTCTGATGAATTATTAATTTGCCATAGCCGGTCGGAGGAACTTCAACTTTTATAAATGTCTACAATGTAACGATTACACGCGCGTAAATAAGCTTATCTTTTAGCACGACAGAAGCTACACAAACTGTATATGTAGATGTAGAGATACCGGAATCTTCTTTCAGTTTAAAAACGGAAACCATCTTGCA